CTCCCTCATGAGCCCTTGATAATTTATAAATTATTATTATTTTGTCATGTCTTACACTGTCCGATGTCTCCCCTCGCCCACTTTTCTGTTTGTCCATCCCCCAGGGAGGGTGTCACATGTAGATCCTTTTGATCAGTACTACCTTTCTACCACACTTACCCTCCACCCTCTTGGTATCGCCACTCACCACTGGTCCTGAAGAGATCATCTGTCCTGGATTCCCTGTGTTTCCAGTTCCTGTCTGTACCAGTGTACATCCTCTGGTCTAGCCAGAGTTGTAAGGTAGAATTGGGATCATGAAAGGTAGGAGGGAGGAAGCATTAAAGAACTAGAGGAAAGTTGTATGTTTCATTGGTGCACACAGCACCCTGACTGGCTGGGAGAACTGGTGATTAATAGCACCATAAGCCAAACCCACTCTCATCAAGTCAATTCCAACTCATAGCCAGTCTGTAGAACAGGGTTGAATTGCCCCTGTGGGTACGCAAGACTGTAACTCTAAGCCACACCTTTCTCCAGCAAAACAACTGGTGATTTTGAACTGCTAACCATGAGGTTAACAGCCCAATGCATAAACATTTTTGCTGTTGACCTCCTGGAAGGCAAAGAATGATAGCACGTGCTCGTGAAGAGAGTGGTTTGAGAACGTTAGCTGAAACTAGCAGAAGAATGCCAGAGTCCTTCTCCAGCACAGCAATGCTCCTTTTCATCCCTCTCATCAAACAAGGCCAATTTTGTGAGTTTCCACGGGAAATCATTACGGATCCATCTTATAGCCCTTAGGCTAGATTTTGTTACTGTTGACTTCTGTTTCCTAACCCAGTTTTCTTCAGTTGATAATGTAAAAATGCCACAGTAATGTGTAGGTTACCAGGACCACCCTCAGTTTGTTAGCGATAGACTCAGTGGCTACTCTCATCTCTTACAAATATGGCTTGGCCTTGATGCAGCTTCACTGAAAAGTAAAGTTGGTATCTTTTCATTTCATTTTTCCGTGAACCTTTTCAATTCCCCTCATTGATAAATTTCTTACATCCTTATAAAATGTCCACAGAATTTATCCCAGTTCTGAAGTGAAAATTCTTCCTGCATCATTATAGTGGCCACTTTTCATGTTCTAAATACCAGCTGGGTAAGCAGGCGGGGTTACTTGCTCCACTATAGAAACAACTCCCTGCTGTTGAATTCGGGTTCATTCTAACTGGCTTTTACAAGTTGCACTACAATTACCTGAAACCAAGACAGCATACAAATCCCCTGAAGCCTCCTCAAATAATTAAGCACCGTGCTTCCAAATAAACAGTCTAATTTGCGCTAGAGTAACTGACTTCATTAGCTACTTGTGATAAAACAATGTGAGAAATATTAATAGTGATATCAGTATTGTGCACTTATCAGCATTTTTAAAACTTTAGTTGTTAACCTCAAACCTGATACACTGATCAACAAATTGGTTTTTTTGTTGTTGTTTTTTTCCTTCCATGTCAGCAGTTTTTCAGGCCCTATAAATAAAAGCTTCTTAGGCAAAAAGTTATAAAGTACTACTCCAGCTGAAAGATTTTTATTTTGTAAAAATTCAATTTACTCAAAACGCAACAGGGTTAAACAAAAGCAAATGCTGTAGTTCATTAGCACAACCTGAGTAGGCCATAATTCAATCCATTGAGTTCTGACTTATAGTGACCCTACAGGACAGGGAGAACTGCCCCTATAGGTTTTCAGATTCGAGATCTTTACAGGAGCACACAGCTTCATCTTTCTCCCTCAGGCCGACAGGCAGATTCATGCCATTCATCTGTGGTTAGCAGCTCAAATATTCTAGGTTTTACTCATAAAAACATCAAGAACAAATGAATCCACTGCCCGTGTAGCATTTGACTCTTGAACGTCAGTCCGGTCTGTTCTACAGTCTCAGCTATTGTTACTCATTTGGTGTGTGCAGGTAGACCAGATTGGGCTATATGAATGTCTGTACTCTCGCTCTTAACCCATGACCTCCACGTTCTGTGTTTTTCTTTCCTCCCTTGTTGTAGCTGTTAGTTGCCATGAGTTGATTTGGACTCCTGGCAGCACCATGTATGCAGAGTAGAACTGGGAGTTCAAGGCTGTGACCTTTCAACACAGATCACCAGGCCCTTTTTCTTTTTCCTGAAGCACCTCTAAGTGGGTTTGAACTGCCAACCTTTGGGGTGTTTACAATCCTTTCCCTCCTCTAGCTACGCTCCTTCCCTTCATCTGCCTTAGTTCACTCACTCTGCTACAGAGTGGACTGTAGCTCTTAGGAACCTTTAAGACATAGTAGAATGGCTCCATTCTGTTTCTGAAAATAAACCTTTATAGGAGCAAACAGCCTCATTCTTCTCCTATGAGACAGCTGGTGGGTTTGAAACATGAACCTTGCAGTCAGCAACCAGTGCTTGACCCAATATGCCATTAGGACTTCCTGAATATTCTGAGTGGCACATTTCCCCTGAAGCCTCCCAGCTGTTCCCCTAGTCTCTGTCCTTCCATTGCTGCCCAGCAATGCAGGTGTCATTCTGCCCGGAGTGTTCCTGTGAGATTCTACCCAGCTATAGATGATACAGCTTGATAGCACTGTTGTAACTCTTTGTTCGCGAACTATATCCTCTCTGGACTACGAGTTCTTTGGAAAGGAATTTAAGCCAACCATGTTCTGCTGTGTCTCTTGTTCAGTGTTTGTTCACCAACTGAATGAAACATAGTTTAGGTGAGATTGAGCTGATTTTTATTTTATTTTTTAGTCACTCTAACCTTAATGTTCAAAGCTTTCCTTCCATGGAGTGTTTATGTCAACTATTCTGGCTAATGCCTTATCTTTTTAACAAGGAAACCCCCCAAAAAGAAAAAGGATAAAATAACATATGGTTAACATTCATCTTTAAAATTAACAGTATCTTTCAAGGACATCGAGGTAAACATGGAAACAAAATAAAATCATAAGATTATATGCCCTTAAGAGATTAAAGGAGTGCTGGTGGTACTCTCAGCCAAGCACTGGACTGTTAACTGGAAGGTCAGTAGAGAGGGACACAGGTGATGCTGTCTGCTCCCCTAAGATCAACAACCCCCAAAACCCTGTGTAGGGTTGCTGTTGTTCAGAATCCACTTGTTGGCAGTGGGTTTGTTTTTTTAAAAGAAATGAAAACAATTTTTCAAAGCAGTCACATTAAATCTCACTATCTCCTACAATGAAGCACATTCATAAAGTTAACTTCTGAGCAAGCTTGGAAGAACTGGTGTCTTTTGGTGATTGGAATTTGTTAAAATCAGACAATGTTTAAATTAGCAGAACATTTGTGAAAATGTTAGAAAATTTGCATTACAGGTTTGGCCTATACCCTTATCAGGTTACATATTTATGAAGTTGCCTAGAATTCGATGGGGTTAGGATACAAAAAGCAGGAAGGTAACAGACAAGAGAATTTAATTCACTGGGTACTAAGTCATTGCCTTTGTACCATGTCTGCCCTAAAGGAATGCCACACTTAATTGTCCTTTTTCCCCCCTCTTTCAGCAATTTCCTGATCAGATTGTAGGATTTGTTCCTAGAAAGCATGTCTCCACTGCATCGGGAATCTACAGTTATGGAGGTTTTGAACTGCAAATACCAGGACTTCAAAATGGTGACCAATATTCTATGGTGCTGATTGGTGCCTCCTTCTTCAATAGCAAATACCTGGAGCTTTTTCAGAAGCAACCTGCAACTGTCCACGCTTTGTTAGATGAAACTCAAAACTGCGATGATATTGCCATCAATTTTATCATTGCCAAACACACTGGGAAGCCTTCGGGGATATTTGTGAAACCGGAAAACATGTTCAATTTAGAAAAAGAAACCACCAGTGGCTATTCTGGGATGTGGCATCGAGCCGAGCACTTTGTGCAGAGGTCCTACTGTGTGAACAAGCTTGTTAAGATCTATACTAGCATGCCCTTAAAATACTCCAACATCATGATTTCTCAGTTTGGTCTTCCATATGCCAACCACAAAAAGTAAAATGTCAGAGTTCAAAAGAAACCTCAGAACTGCTTCGTATTTGAGTTGCTTCTCCGCATTGCATAGTTGTTTCTGTTTTTGTATTTACAAGCAACACAACGAACTTTAGTCCACACCCTGAGTCTCTACACAGGAACAATGTGCAGTGCTCCTAGGCTAGAAAATCCACATCCACATGGAGTCAAGAGCCAAGAAGCTGGTGTCATCGAGATCGGTCATCAGAAGAAGTTTTTAATCCAGAGATGTGACTGTTTGGTCAGCAATTACATTGTTTACATTTTGAGACTGGTACACAATTTCTTTGACGTCTGGCATTTGCCTTAAGGATCTATATAGCAAGCCGTTCCCAGGATCAGAATTCCGAAAGAGGTGTGTCAGCGTTTTCACCAGAGGTCGGTTGTTTTCATTTGAAGCCTGAATGCTTCGTTAGCAGAAGTCTAAGATAGGGGAAAGCCATGTGAAGAGAGAATAGAATCCCAGTAAACCCGAGGCAAAGCACAGCTCCCAGTGCTTGCTTCCCTTTTACGCAGTCCCCCATTCTGAATGCAGCCAGCATGGGCTTGATGCAACCATTAGTGCTTTCCCGTTCATTGATAAATCAGTTGTGACCAGGAAGGTTCATTTTAGTAACTGCAGTCTATCTAGTTGTTTGCCTGATTTTTCTGAACATTTACTGCATGGTCCACCAAAAAATGCAGCCTGTATTTATTATATGCAACTAAAGGGATAAAAGTGTTCACCAGGCTCAGGTATTACATTTTGCCCCTGCATCTGACCTTGGGAATGTACATTAATTCTTATGTTGTCTATAAAGAATATGTTGTCTAAGAAACACGTGTAAAATCAGTCTTCGGAAGGAATGGTGAAGGCGGGAATGATTGAAGCCAAAGCCCTTCATACCAAAAGCTAGCTGTTACTAGGGTGCAGGCTCTCTCTCGGATACTAAGGAGAGTGTGTGGATTGCATACAAAGTCAGACTCCCGCATTCTGAACTTCATTGTTGTTGCTGTGTTTGTTTCTTCGATTGTTCCTTTGTGCATTTGTTTGTTTTTCAAAAACAGATCCAAAGTACTGTTCGTCATGATGAGATTTGTTTCTTAGCTACAAGAAACACAAAGTGGAGTCCTAGCAGAGGCGTTCTGTAGGCTCTCAACCTCGGTTCGTTGTTAAGGAAGCCTCCTCTCGCATGTGAGTTAGAGGGTCTGGTTCGCCCTTGTTCACTACTTGCAGCAAGGAATGCTGAAATAAACCGCCGTCTCCTCCTTTTTATGTAATGCCAGGATATCTTGTGAAATATCTTATGCCGGATACTTGTGAAGTATCACAGAGTATCTTGTGAAGCTGTGAACATTTTAAAATAACCATGGCTCTCTCAGTCAGTCCAGATGAGTGTAAGAGAAATGCCACATACCGTTCAATCCAGGAGAATGGCAGATTTTCCAACAATGAGGTCTCCGTGCAGTGAGTTCCGGATATGTTGTCATATGTGTCTCAATTCCATCGAAACCCATAGAACGCAAATCCCACTAACAATCTATATTGCTCATATGACCCAACAATTCAACCCCTAGGTATATGCCCAAACGACATGGAAACGGAGATTCAGAAAGAGACTTGTTCACCAAAGTTCATTGTAGCACTATTCACAATATGCAAAAGGTAGAAAACACCTAAATGTCCATCAACAGGTGAACGGATAAACAAAACATTTAGTGCACTGCTCACCCAGTAGGAGAAATGCAGTCTTAATGCTATATGCTCGAGTGTGGGTGAAGCTTGACTTTATGCTGAGTGAAATTAGCCAAATATTAAAGGACAAATCTTGTGTGAGCTCGCTTAAATAAAAGGCAAGGAAAACGTAGACAGACCCAAGTTTTTAGAGATGGAAGAGAAGAGGAAAAGGGGCTGTAACAGTAATGGAAACATTGCATTGATTATGAGTACAGTTACACAGCCAATTGTAATTGTTGTCAATAAGTAATACATTTGTAAGAAGCTGACTTGGCGAAACTGGTGTGATAGTAAGTTTACAATAACAACAACAGAAATGTAGCTGCTGGGACTGCTTAGGTATAAACTAACATCTCATGGGATTTGGTTCCTTGCTTTGGACATTTAGCGCCATGAGACACCCTAGTTAATTGGCCTAATAACGTGTTTAGTGCCTCTGTGTTACATTCCAGTTTATTGTGTAGTGCCTAGGGTCTGAAACGCTTGCAAGTGGCCATCAAAAACACAACAGTTGGTCTGCAATTGCGTGGAGCAACAGAGAGAGAAAGGAATCGGAGAAAAGTATGGGAACTGCCTCCTTTGCCGTGACACCAAAACGCGTGGTGCCCAGCCCCCCTTGCTGAAATCGATGATCAAAGGACCCATAGAAGAATCTTGATCGCAGTGGAGAAATGCAGAAAAGAATTTCAAATTCTCTTGGCCTCTAGACTTTCTAGAGGCATGAAGTCCAATGAACCCCCAAACGATTGCCCTGAGATAATCATTAACTATTAAACCAAAAATATATATCTTAGAGCTCAAGACAGCTTAGCTTAACTATTTAAAAAATACCTGTCTTCAGTATGATGCTCTTTGAAGAGCTACTTATATGGGATCAAATTGACAACAGCAACGTGAAAGATTAGACAGGAACCATGGTAGGCAGGAACTTCATGTTCAGAACAAGCGTGCAATTGGTTGTACAGCTCAAAGAATGTAATCAGTGTTACTAAATCATACGTTTAGAAACTCTTGATTTTGTTTTTTGCTGTGTATCTTCTCAACAACAAAATAAAATATAGGACAAAACATAATTGTTCAATATCTGCTTTGTCATAGTTGTTTTTTCGGGGGTTTTTTGCCTCTTGGACCACCAGCAGATAAACTTTTATGATCCATGTAATTAAACAGACTCATGTTTGGGGGGCTGTTGCATTAACAAAATTTCCAAAAGTTTTAATATATTGCTCACAATGAGATAAAGGTACTACTAGACATATTCCCAGTGGGAAAACATTCTTGTGCTTCATTTCCCATCTTGTGTTTTTAAACTTAGCATTATGCAAGTTAGTTTTATCATGTTTTCCAATATGATGGAGCAAATATGAAACCAATATGAAATTCAGCCTGTTATAATGTCTTCTGCATGGATACAAATCCAACTGAAAATTGTGTGTCTTCCAGTGTCCTCCAGTTTGGCCCCAATGACCACTGAGATGACATGCTGCAACTCACAACTGCCCAAAGAAGCAGTGCTGCAGAGGAGCTCTGGGCACATATTTTGCTCACAAAGCAAACTCTGCCAATGAGTCATTTCTGACTCATAGTGATCTTACACACATTTCCAAGGCTGTCAATCTTTCTCTGTGCAGAGGCTAGTGGATTTGAGCCACCAACCTTCCTAATGCCACGACCCCTTAATACAGTACCTCATGTTGTGATGGCCCCCAATCATAAAGTTATATTCGTTGCAACTTCATCACTGTCATTTTGCTACTGTTATGAATCGGGCGACCCCTGTGAAAAGGTCGTTCGAACCCCCAAAGGGGTCGCGACCCACAGGTTGAGAACCGCTGTTAAGCCATCCAGCTCTTACTCAGCAGCACCACAGCTCAAGGTCAAAAGTCTCAAATTCAAACTCACTGCCGTCCAGTTTATTTCCATTCATAGCAAGCCTGTAGGAGTGGGTAGAACTGCTCTGCGGACGTCCAAGACCCGACCTGAAATCCACCACACCATCCGCCGCCTTCTGGCTGAGGGCATTTGGACTCAAGTCCTTGCCGAGCCTTCTGTTTACATGACTACTCAGAACTCTGCTCTCCGTCAGCAGAATGAGAATACTATCCAGCTAGTCATTTGCTCAAAGGGATAAGGGAGACGACTTTAATAAGTACAGCCCAATGGCTGGCCTATTGCAAATGCTCAATAAATGGAAGCTTTTGGAATGATGTCATTGATAACAAGGGTAGAGTTGGTCTTACAACTTCACCATATACAGTAGAACCACGGTACTCAACTCGACATAATCGGGCATAGGAGACCGAACCAAACATTGGAATCCAACGCGACACACGTGATTTTTGTAAATAAAAAACTTTTGTGTTTCGGGCACTCGGCGTTAGTTGGCGTTGTTAATACGCGTCGTTTAAACCTTTTGCAGCTGTGTTGCAAGTGTTTTGCTATAATTTTCTTAGTTTTTGTGACTTTTTGTACTATTTTTAGATAAGAAACATGGGCCTAAGAGTTTTTTATTTTAAAGAATCATGGTAAGAAACTGGTTAACTGTGTTATCGATATTGTTGATGATAATTTAGTAAACAGTTAAGGAGACGCCAACAGCAGACCACATTAGACAGATCTATTTATTTATTTACTTATTCATTTATTTATTTATTTTTGAGAAAGCCAGCCAGGTCCTAGTGAAAAACGCAAAGAAGGGTAAAGAACTCCTGAAAAGCAGCTACCAGTTGATTTTATGGGAGGGGATTCCTTTTCGAACAAGGACTCTCCATGCCTCCTCTCCACATCCATGTCCACAGATCTAGATCCTCATCAGTCTCAAGGCCCTACTGTAGTTGTTAAAAACTTTTTGTTGTGTTTCTTATTTAAATTATATTACTTAACTCTGATCTTAATTACTTTGAACATTTTGTGTAATGTTTTGTAACAACAAAAAGATTAGGGTAAAAGCTTGGTGATGGAGAACGGATTAATTCATTTTCAGTTATTTCTGATGGGGACAAATTGATTTGGAACTCGACTGCATGGCCTCTTGATGCTCCTTCTAAACAAATTAGCATCAAGGTCCGGGGTTCTCCTGTAGATGGTAGGATGGCTCTTGCACTTAACAGGAGCAACTTGATAAATTGTTCCTTCATCAGAATGGACGAGGAACCCTGGGAATTTTCATTTAAAGCAAAGAGAATGCCAGAATATTTTTCTTGACTTCAAGTACTTATTAAAGCAGTACCTATTCTAACAATTTTGAAATATTAAAACAGTATGAAGACGTTAAAAAGCCTCATTAACAACTACTAACATCTGTTTGTGTATTCCTCCAGACTTTTCTAGGCATACATTTTAGTAACATATTTAATTGGTATTTCATTGTGTGGATAAGTCACCAGTTATGGAATTATTTATTACCATTTTACCTTATTGTTTGCTAATAATTTCTTACTATTACGATGCCACTTAGGACAATGTCCTTGCTTTGAGCTGACATGTTTGAGTATATCTATAATTATTTCTTTTATATTAAGTTCAAAAACCAAAATGCCTGGATCTATCTAATAATCTGTGTGCTTTTAGGGGTTTTGATACATACTGCTAAAAAGCCTCAGAATTGTTACCATAGCTACACTATTAATATCACATATGCGTTCACCTGTTTCCTGTCAGTCTTCCCAACATTGCATATTACTGAAAATGTATTTCTTTTTTTTTCCATATAAAGACCCCTGTATTAAGTCTTAACCAGGACAAAGAAAAATCATCTGGATGAGGGAGACCATCAGCATAAGGCCATGCATAGTGCCCAAAGGAGTTGTAGCCACATTGTTAATTGTAGCACATAGAAAATAAAGGAAATTTGTCAAAATATCACGATTGGCAGTAGATTAGTTCATCTTTGTCCTAGGTAAGACTACAGAAGCAGGAAAGAGTCCATGGTATATGTACTGTATTACAGATTAGAAAAGTTTATAGAATTCACTCGGACCCTCTTATAACCTTGGTTGAAGTATGACTCATGACTATGCAGTGCTGGTACCTTGATTTCCATTAAGGGCACACCCACCAAGTGTCTAAGGGCGAGACTACTCCTCTGGGCTGACCAAGGGAGTTAAAGTAACCCATTTTCAAGCACACTCTGCCGAGGGTCAAAACTGTTCCCATTCAGAATAAGCTCAATGAGGGATGAATTTATGTTGAGCCTCAAAATGGAAATGATCTCCCCCTGTCAACTGCAGCCTTCCATAAACCAAAGTGCTTAGAATTCAAGCTCTAACATATTATAGGCAAAATGTTTGCTGCAAAATTTGGAAGCGTTCTGCATGCAGAAAAGGCAGATAATCAACGGTAAGATTTGAGGGTAGTACAAACTTCAGGAAGCTTGAAGTGCTTCTAGAAGCTTACACAAGGGTCTGAGTTTAGAAAATGAACTGCTGACCCTTTTCTGGTCTGAGAAACAAGTCATTTGTAAGCAGCAGATAAAAAGCTCATTCTTGTTCTCCTTGACAAGATGACCTGAATGTTGACACCAAGGAGGTAGAGTGTACGTGTGCGTTCCTACCTTAGTTCACCAGATGGGGAAAGGTGGCACATAAGGAGAAAGAAAGGTGCATGGAGGATACGTTCTTAGTAGAGGAGGAAAATATGGAGATGCTTAAATTCTGACCAGGATCCCTGGTTACACTTTGGACTGCTGTTAGCACCAACTGCAAGATCAGCACTTCGAAACCACCAGCCGGTCCTTGGGAGAAAGGTGAGGCCTCTCCTCCTCTAAAGAGTTGGAGTCTCAGGTATCCATAGAGGCAGCCCTACGTGGGCGTATAGGTTTCTATGAATGAACGCAATGGCCGTGAGCTTGAGTTCTGGATGGGGTCACTGTGAGTTGGAATTGACTCCGTGGCCATGAGATATTCTGACTGAATACCACAGAGGCTTCAAGAATGCGGTCACATCATCCCCTGCCAGTCCGTTTCATCAACGGGCTTTTGTTGCATTGGGTTCTCTCAACTTTTGGGGGAAAATAATAAAACTGGATTCACCTCTCTACCCCACCTTTCCCCATACCAGCACCCCCTTCTTCC